TGGGCTTTCTCTAGTTGTGCTGCATGGGCTTCTCATTGCGGTGGCGTCTCTTGTTGCAGAGCATGGCCTCTAGGGTGTGCGAGCTTGAGGAGTTGTGACACGGGCTTAGTTGCTCCTCGGCCTGTGGGATCTTCTCAGTTCAGGGATCGAATTTGTGTCTTTCGCATTGTTAGGTGGGTTCTTTACTACTGAGCCAGCAGGGAAGCCCCGCTGTGTGGTTTTTAGAATAGTTTCATTTCTTAATTTTTTGCTGACCAGCTTAACTATTATGAGCGACAGAATTCTAACAGAAGTAATCCACAGTTGAGAACTGGCTGAAGTGTTCTTTAGTACAGGCCTCAAGTCCTTACAGTTAAATACACAGATGTCAGAGCATTTTGACCACTTTGAAGAGGTCTTCCTGAAAAGGTTAGGATTTGGTCCATAGTTGTCCTGTCTGGATTTTATGTTACTGTCCAGCTAACTACTCTTATGTGTGCAGCGGTCACTATTAAAACGGACTGTTCTCACCGAAACTTGTCTTCCTCATTGAAATTGTCTGAGGGTGTGGTTTTGGAATATAACTGCTGAGCAGATCTCTCCAGATGTATACTGCATGAGGCATAAGTGTGCAGCCAGAAACACCTAGGCAGGACCAAGGTGCAGGGCTGAGGGTCAAAGTCATCTTCAGAGGGAGCCCTGCCCTAGGTGACCTGTGTCAGCCTCAAGTTGGACTCCCAGGCCAGTGGCAGCCACACGGACGCTAAAATCAGTGAATTGGAGCAATTGGAGCACATGTCCTCTCTCCCTTTCTTTTCACAGAAAACAAAGAAATCTAAGGCGGCAGAGTCTGTCTCAAAATCAGATGTCAGTGAAGGTAAGATGCTAAAAAGAAGGCCTTATTTAGCAAAAATAAGACCCTAGACCTGTTTTGCTAAATAAGTTCCTGATTTGGTTTTGTTTCTTCACAGAAACCCCAGGACCATCAAAAATGAAAACAGGGAAGCCCGAAGAAACTAACCTTGACACTCGAGAGAAGAAGACCAACTCGGCTCCAAAAAGTGCAGGTGAGTCCAGTTGAGATGACGGTGGGCCACTCAGATGGCTGGAGACCCGCTTGGTTGTGTCACTGTTTGTTGGGGTGACTCTGAAGACTCAAGCTTATCCTGATTGTGTCTCTTGCTCGCTTAGGGGTTCACTGAGTTCTCTTGGGGGTTGGCTAAGAAACAGTTGATTCACGGGATTGAAGGGGGTGTTCACACATGCCGTTGTCCAGTTTTCCTGTGGAGCCTGCTTGTAGGGCCAGGCGAACGGGGTGTAGAGACCAAAGATCTGACTCGTTCGTTCCCCATTTTAAGGCTGAGTTCTCTGTGCACCAGATGTGCACTGGAGCCAGCCTCCCTCCACCTGCCTCCCGACCAGGAGCCGTTTGATAGCTAGTCCAGAGTTTAGAGACACTAGTATTTATTTCACAAAGAAGAGAAGCACAGATGGATAAGGTAAGGAGTGAGTCATCTTGTGTTCATGGGTTCCAGATATCCCTCCACATACCAGCCACCTGGCCTCAGGGTCTCATGTGTGTCCATCTCTGAAGCTGGGGCCTGTGCAAGTAGTGATAAAGGTGATTTTAAATGACAGATTTACATACAGTAGCTTCGTTTGTTTTTTGGGCTTAGTGATTGAGATACTGTATTTCAACATTCCTCCCCAGAAAGGAGGAGGGAAATTCCTGGGCTTGGTGGCCTCTCGAGAATGTGATGGTAGGAATGGTCTGCAGCCCCAGCCTCAGAGTTCAGAGCTTTTCGTTTTTCCAGCAGCACACGGGATCGCTTCTGGAAAAGCCGCGAAGAGGTCCATTGCCGACAGCGAAGAGTCAGAAGCTTACAAGTCTCTCTTCACCACCCACAGCTCCGCCAAGCGCTCCAAGGAGGAGTCGGCCCACTGGGTCACCCACACATCCTACTGCTTCTGAGGCCAGCGGTGCGGCCTCAGCTGGGCCCTGTGTGCTTGCTGGAGCCACTCAAGTAGGAGGGCGCAGCGGGGACTCTGTGACCCCGCCGGCCTCACCTGTCATCCTGTCCCACTCACCTCCACCCTCTGTGCACTTGGACCTTCCCCCAGCCCAGAGAGCATGTTGGCTGCATACTTATGCTCAAAATAATTAAAGACTCCAGGTTCCTCCTGGGTGTGTGGTCCGCTCATTTTGACTAAAATGTTCATGGTTTTGTTGCCAATGGTTAATTAATTAAATAAGCCGAGTGAGACTGAACTTGAGAAAGGAGTTGAGTTTCAAGTACATTCTGCCTGCAGGGCTGTGGGAGGGAGCCTTTTGCACCAGAGCAGGGGCCTTAAGGGGTTTCCTTGCTCCATCGGTGTGATGAGAGAGGAGATTTAGTTGTGCACCTGATGATTTGGTACAAAAATTAAGTCTAAAGTCTGCTTTTTCTCTCATCTCTATGTTTTTCTTCTTCCACTAATATTTGAGTAAGAAACTTGCAGCCATTGCATTGTTAGTGACAGTAATTCTGTGACGTCATGACAATTCCACGTTCTCTCTCAGCAGATCATGAAAAGGGAAACTGGGCATAAAATTGGTGTGTCTCATGCATAAAGTGTGTTGAAGTCAATAATTAATGAAACTCTGCTCTAAAGGCAGGAGTATCAAGATTGTGAGCCCTGCCTTCTGGAGACGGGGGCATGTTACTGAAATGGTTCTTTATAGGAGATCCGGGGCATGAGGTTCCATTAAAAAGCAGGCAGAGGAAACACAACACTGTAAATCAACTATGCTTCAGGAAAATAAAATTTTTTAAAAACCAGGCAAAGGATGGGAGAGGAGGTTGGAAGCGGAAGGGAGCAGCCTGGGCTTGGGGAGGGGAAGGTGCTGGAGAACTGAAGCCAGGCTGCTCTGTCACCCTGTCCTCTGCCTTAGCAGTCTGGGGAGTTGGACCTGAGGATATGTGAATATAGATTCATTTTCATCAGATTATATTAGTATCAGTGAATTTTTGTTACGGACTTTTTCCAGAAAAAACATGAAAATTATCGTTCATGTACATTTACATACAGATACATCTAGTTACGATCACCATGCCTATTTCTGATCAACCCTGGGGTCTCGCACCCCTGTAAGTGCGAGGCTCCCTCTCTACCCAGGAGCCGCCCGCCCCTGAAGCTAGGGGGAGTGTGAGCCCCAGGTCAGCCTGTGTGGTACGTCCGACTCTCCTCTGTCTCCCCTTCTGATTTCACATCCTCTCACAGAACTTCCCTGGGCTCGACACAGTCAGAGGCTGAGTGCAGACACCCCATGGACCCTGGGTTGTAGGAGCAGAAGTCGTCTTTCCGAGGAATAAGTGTCAGTCAGATGACCCAGCAGAATAGGTGCAAGCGCTGTGTTCTGCTAATTGGGACTTTTTTTGTTTTGTGTCACTTTTAGAAGCTGTTGGTTTCGAATGCAGTGGCTCAGGTGCTTGGTTGTGTTCCTGACGGTGGCCTCTATCTGCTGCACCCCTGTCACCTCCCAGTCCCCACACTTGCCTGGATGTCAGCCTTTCCCCCTCTTCATCCAGCCAACTCCTGATCATCCCTCACACTCTGCCCGGATGTCTTTCTCAGGAAAACCTGCCTGCCTGAACTAACCTCCAGCTACCCCCTTGCACTCTTAAAGCTCTCATTTCTTACCACATTTTTTTTTTGTTTTTTTGGCCATGCCATTCAGCCTGCAGCATCTTCATTCCCCAATCAGGGATCGAACCTTTGTCCCCTGCATTGGAGTCTTAACCCCTGGACCACCAGGGAAGTTCCTTCATCACTGTTTTTTCACAGTAATATCACTTCAGTCCCTGGATTCGGAAGATCCCCTGGAGAAAGGAATGGCTACCCACCCCAGGATTCTTGCCTGGAGAATCCCATAGACAGAGGAGCCTGGCAGGCTACGGTTCATGGGGTCACAAAGAGTCAGACATGACTGAGCAACTAGCACTTTTCACTTTTTTCACTAGCAGTTATACTAAATATTAAAAATGAGTTTTCATTTACATTTGAAATTGAGATGTCCAATCTCCATTGTTTTTCCAGAGAACAGGAAAAAAAGTTCACCTAAAAGCATGGAGCTTTTTTAAGGCTAGCTATTCACAAACTTCACATTGGCATTTTTCTTCAGTTTTCATCTCAACTATTAGTACTTATTAGTCTAAAACTCAAACGTAATTTGCTAATGAACAACTGCACACTTCATACTGTGATGATTTGATAACGTCACGTAAAACTAATCTCAGATGTTGATTTGTCTTCGATTTATAAGTAATAAAAATATAGCAAAAAAGGTCTTTCCTAATCCCCTTGTCACAATTTTAATGAAATAAATGATACTTTTAATTAAGCCAGGCATTGTACACTCAGGTGACGTCATCGAATGTGGATATGAGGTGATAGGAAGAACGTGGCCAGTGGAGGGGCGGTTCCTACTTGGCTCCAGCAGAGAGGGGCCCTGTGTTATGAGATCTTCCATACTTTTCAAGGAAATCAGAAATCTGACCTTTGTAAATGGAGCTCCCCCACCCCCATTTAAATACCCCAGCCAAAGCAAGAGATGCAGGAGACTTGGTTTGATCCCTGGGTTGGGAAGATCACCTGGCAGAGGAAATGGCAACCCACTCCAGTATTCTTTCCTGGAGAATCCCATGGACAGAAGAGCCTGGCTGGCTATAGTCCCTGGGGTCACAAAGAGTCAGACACGACTTAGCGACTGAGCACAATCATTTTTCGGAACAGTGTTGGCCACACAAAAAACATCATTAGCTCCTAGTTTGCAGCCTCTGGTTTATTATCTTTCCCTCCCATTCGGCTTTCTGCTCCACTGGGGCACATGCCTTGAGTCTGCTCTGCTCACCACAGTGTCTGGATTCAACAAATGGAAAAATAAATATAGGAGATGGACCCGCCCTCCCAGTAGAGCACCAGGCTCAGAAAGCATACGCTGGTAAGGAGATGGCATTCTGTCACTCCCCGCCTCTTTTTCGACTGCTTGCTGGAAAGGACGCCGTTTCCCTTTAAATCCTACTCCCAGGCGACCCCCCTCAAGCCTCTTTATCCTCTGCCCTAAAGTCATCACAATGGCCAGAGTGGGTTCTGGCTGGGGGGCCTCTGTGACATCACCACGATCCAGCCCTGCCTGGTCCCCTGTCTCCAGGTGCAAGAGCATAGCAGCCCACTGCAAGCCACATCCTGCCGCATCTCTGCTCACCATGCAGTCTCTGAAATGGTGCTTGTTCTTGCCTCTGTGTCTCTCCTGTGGCTATGCCTTTATGTTTTCTTCTCTGAGAGATAAACCCAAAGAAACCCAGGGGAAGGTGCCCTGCGGAGGGCACTTTCGAATTCGGCAGAATCTACCGGAGCATACCCAAAGTTGGCTTGGGAGCAAGTGGCTCTGGCTCATTTTTATTGTTGTGCTGTACGTGATACTGAAGTTTCGAGGAGATAGTGAGAAGAATAAGGTAAGGGTGGCTCTGTTTGTTACTCCACATTGATTCCATCTCAGAAACCTCAGACTCAGAGAAACAGATGCTCTCGTTATTACAGGCAAGACTGTTAGGTATAACGAGTTTGAATATGGAGTATCTACTCCCAGTCCTGAGTGTGCTGGTTAACTCATTTCCCCACATATCCTTAGAGAAAACTAGACCTGAACTCACAGAGGTTGGGACTCAGTTAAAGGCCACCTTTTGTTTATTAGGCAACTAAAACCTTGGCTCAATGTTTATCCCGTTAAATCAGGTTTTTTTCAAATAAAGATAGATTGAAGAACTTGGCATGTTTCAGGTCAAAATTATTTACAGAGCCAGATTCACTGCCCCTGGGTTTTCATTTCCCTGGCATCTGAATTATTACCAGTTGCTGAACTGAATGGAAGTGGTAACATTATTCCAAGTAAAGGAAGAGATCTGTCATAAAGGGTCAGAGGTGTAAAGAAGTAACAGCCTGTCCATGAAGTGGCTGAAGAGCTCTTGAGAAGGGGATGGGAAGAGAAATACGGTGGCTTGTTCCCTCTTCAACAGACCCAACGCTCCAGGATACTGTGTCCAAACTGATGGGAGCAGGGGATTGGCAAACATTTTCTGCAAAAGGCCAGATAGTCGACATTTTCAGCTTTGTAGCCCATTCAGTCTCTGTTGCAAGGATTCAACTCTGCCCTTTGAGGGTGAAAGCAGTCATAGACTATAAGCAAATGAATGAGCCTGGCTGTGTTCCAATAAAACTTATATTAACAAGAACAGCTGGCAGGCCAGATTTGGCCATCATTTGCCAGTCCCTTGACTAGATCAATGCTAGAGCCAACTTCTCTCAGGTGAGCCCAACTCTCAGAACTCTGTCAAAACCAGCAATGTCAATGGTATCATTCACCCTGAATATCTTTCTTGACAGGTGCAGACTCCTCCCACCCTTCGGGGCTGTACATTTCGCCCTCCAGGAAGGAAAAACGCTTCTCTCAACAAAGACTATGCATTCAGTACCTTAACCCAGCTCGAGATGGACCTTGTGAAATTTGTGTCCAGGGTGCGGAATCTGAAAGTCACCATGGCAACCGGAGGTCACTTCAGGCTTCAGAACTTAGGGGGTGCAGACCCACACCGTAACGTTACAATATATGAGATTTGGGGCGAAGAAGACTCTGCCGATTGAGTGGGTTTGTGTGTCCAAATAGGAAAGGAAAAGTTGGGTACTGACAAACTGTATCCAAACTATAAAACTGTTGTGAAGAAAAGCAGTTCTCAAATTCGTGACCTTTTTCCTTTCTTATTTTTTTTTTTTAAACTGGAAAAAAAACGTGAGGCCAGACGCCATTGCAGTTACTGTTTTTGTATTTCTTACCTCCTCCAGAGCTAAAGGTAGTGAGAAGTGTGAGGACAGTGACATTAGCATTGGGTGACAATTTTGGCCACTGTACCATGACCTTTGTAGAATAAGGCTTGGGAGATTTTTGGGGTAAGATGCTAATATTATTTCTGTAATAGCTATCTTTATAGTAGCTATTTTTGGAAAGGGCAGAATCATTTTTTCTCTAGTTCACTACATTATAAAGGACAACTTTAATTATAGGTTTAAAATTATAAAATGATTGAATTAGGTGTGTGTGTCCAGAGGATGGTGGATTCACTTCATTTTCTTTCTTTTTTTTTAATGTTTATTTATTTAGCTGCACCTCGTCGTAGTTGCGACCTGTGGGATCCAGTTCCCTGACCTGGGCTCCCTGCATTGGGAATGTGGAGTCTTAGCCACTGGACCACTAGGGAAGTCCCTCATTTCATTTTCTTACCTTCAGAAACTTATTCATTCTATCTTGTGGGCCTGACGTATTGACTTTTTCTACTATAAAACTGACGGTTACATGTATCTAAGTGGATTAAGAAAAATGGGAGACTCAAACCACGTTTCTAATGTCATTTGGATATAGACAAGCTAATCAGGAGCTTCCAAAGCAGTCAGTGTTAACATTCTTTGTGAGTGCTAAGTCGCTTCAGTCGTTTCTGACCCTTTGCGACCCTGTGGACCACTCTGTCTGGGATTTCCCAGATGAGAATATTGGAGTGGGTTGCCATTCCTCCTCCAGAGGATCTTCCCGACTCAGAGATCAAACCCACGTCACTTATGTCTCCTGAATGTTCTTTATAATACTTGTTTAAAGTATGGATATTTGGGGAACTTCTCTGGCAGCCAGCCCAGTGCTTCCATTGCAGGGGCGAAGGTTTGATCCCTGGTTGGGGAACTAAGATCCCACATGCCTTGCAGTGTGCCAAAAAACTGCAATAATAAAAATGAAATAAAATATGGATATTTTGGCATGTTTATATGGCTAATGGAAGCTACACTTTCTCTGGGCTGTTCTATTAGCTCATGACGCCTCATATAGGCCAGCCTGATAGTTTTAGGACAAGCAGATGCAGGCCTGGGCAGAGACATCCACTCTGGAGGTTCCCTTATTTCCACTTCACACCTAACTAAAGTGTGCTCGAACCTCCATTGCCTTCCATCTGGCTAAAAAGAGTTAATCCTCGTGGTTCGAGCACCATCCTCAAGACCCACACAGTGTCTGAGAGACCTCAGGTTAGACCTGCCCACCTCTTCCCCTCTCATCATTGTCACCCTGTCTTTGAAAAGTGGTCCCTGGAACCATCTTGGACCCTGTGGAGGTGTGTGGAGTTCCTGCAGCTGAACTTTGGGGGCAAATAAGAGGGGCCTGCTGGGAACGGGACTTCTAAAACGACAAATATGTCTGGAAGGCTGTGGTCCAAGGCCATTTTTGCTGGCTATAAACGGGGTCTACGGAACCAAAGGGAACACACTGCTCTCCTGAAAATTGAAGGTGTATATGCTCGAGATGAAACTGAATTCTATCTAGGCAAGAGATGTGCTTATGTGTACAAAGCAAAGAACAACACAGTAACTCCTGGTGGAAAACCTAACAAAACCAGAGTGATCTGGGGAAAGATAACTCGAGCTCATGGAAACAGTGGCATGGTTCGTGCCAAATTCCGAAGTAACCTTCCTGCTAAGGCCATTGGACACAGAATCCGTGTGATGCTGTACCCTTCGAGGATTTAAACTTCTTGAAAATAAATAAAAGTGTGGATTTGAAGGAAAAAAAAAAAAGAAAAGTGGTCCCTGAACCCTTTGCTTTTTGTCTTAATTTCAGCTCTCACAATATTAAAAAAAGAGAAGAAGAAAAAAAAAAAAACAACTGGAAGGAGTTGAGACGTCTCCTCAGTGCCTCCTATACTCTTTCTGGGTCTTTTCAAGTAGAAGTTATTTTTCCAGCACATTCTGAAGAAATGCAGATAAGGAAAAAAGACTTTGGTTTTAACCTATGATGTCAACACGGGGCATATTTTAGATTAGAATGGAGATAATCGAAAGGTTGCCAAATCACGACTCACAGGTCAAATAAGCTTCTGCCTGTTTTTGAACAGCCCTTGAACTAACAATGGTTTTTTTATTTTTAATTTTAGTTTTTGGCCATGCCATGTGGCAGGCAAGGTCTTAGTTCCCTGATCAGGGATAGAACCCATTCCACCCACAGTGGAAGCATGGAATATTAACCACTTGGACCATCAGGGAAGTCCAAAAATGGATTTTATGTTTTTAAGTGGTTGAAAAAACATCAACTGATGAATCATATTTCATGATATGAAAATTACATGAAACTCAAATTTCAGTGACCATAGATAAATTTTTATTGAAACAGAGCCACACTGTCATTTACATGTTGCCTATGGTGACTTTTGTGCTCTGTGGCAGAGTTGAATTACTGCACAGAAACCATTATGACCCACAGAGCTGAAAATATTTACTAACTAGCTCTTCAGAGGAAAAGTTTGCTGATCCTAGTTTATGTTCATCTCACTCAGTCGTGTCCAACTCTTTGCGACCCCATGGACTAGAGCCCGCCAGGTTCCTCTGTCCATGGAATTCTCCAGGCAAGAATACTGGAGTGGATTGCCATTCCCTTCACCAGGCGATCTTCCCGACCCAGAGATCAAACCTGGGTCGTCTTCTTTGCGGGCAGATTCTTTACCATCCGAGCCACCAGGGACGTCCTAATTTATATGTTAACAAACAGAAAATATGTTCATTGGAATCTGATATATCAATAACCTTCACAAACATCCCCTCTTTGTCTGAGAAGCAAAAATGTAATTCCATATCATTTTTGTGTCATTTTGTCCCAGCTAATGATGGGAATCCTACGAAAGAGCAAAACATCAAAATTTCTTATAGGAAGTTGATCTGGGGTATAATTAGAACAAAATCTGCTGTACAAGTGGATTTAACAATTCCCATAAAAGAGTGTCCCGAGTCTTTGCCTCGACTAACACAAAGCTTTGCAGACCCCGGTGTTGCCTAGAAAATAGTGTTTTCCTCGCCCCAGTCTATTTCGTGCATTATTTTCATACAAAAATGTAATAGATACAGATCAAGGAGCAAGAGCCCCACAAAGCCGCTCACCTCTGCTGAGTGTCAGTGAAACCCCAGGGCTTCCGCACTCTGCAGTGACGCAGCAGCTCGAAGCCACTAGATGGCTGTAGTTGTCTACGCTGCTGTCTCCGTCAGAGGAGATTCACCTGGAGGGTTGGCAGGATTCGTAGCCAAGACCTTCTCCTGGCGGCCTGAAGAGACCACTGCCAGAGGTGGTAGGTCATGAGGCAGAGATGTGAGAGCATCCTCTAGGATCTGAGAGCAGTCCCCAGTCAACAGCTAGGAAAGAAGCCCAGAGTCTCAGTCACACAGCTGCAAGGACAGGATCTGGAAGAGCCCCCCATGTCACAGGGGACCCCTGTTGTGGGAGACCCTCGCAAAGGAGCCCACCCACCGGAACACAGACTCAGTCCACAGAAATTGTAGGAGAATAAATGTGTGTTGCTTGAAGCCACTAAGTTTGTGATAGTTTATGACACAGCAGTAGAAAATCAGCACCACACACACACACACACCCCATCTTCCTGTTCCCAATTGCTGAACACCATTGCTGTTCCCAATGCCTTGGAGGATAAGTCCACACTCCCTCTGACCTAGTCCCTGGCCTCTGAACCAGAGGAATGGGACCAAAGGAATAATGGAAGGGGATCAAGAATAGGGTTGTCCTGCTCCTTGAAGCTAGAAGTTACAAACTATTGGCTCAGGGACCAAACCTCCCCCTGCCCTGACATGTTTCTTTGACCATAATCACATTTTTTAGCATTTTATTTGAAATAATTGTAGATTCACAGGCAGTCGCAAAGGGAACAGAGTGTCTTCTTAGACCCTTCACCTGGATTCCCCAGTGGTTGCATCTTATGCAACTTGAGAACAATCACAGAACCAGAAGACAGATGTTGCAACAGTGTGTGGGGAGAGTTCTGTGTTGTTCTGTCCCCGGTGTAGAAGCATGGATCACCCCGCCCCCCGCCCCCCGGCCCCCGCCAACTACACCATCCTGGCAGAGACCCTCAACAGCTTTCCCCACCTCCCCTGACCCCTGGCAACCGTTTCCATCTCTATGACAATGTTATGCGAATAAAATCACACAGTGTGTGACCTTTGAGGTTGGCCTCTTTCACTCCATACAACCCTTCAGATACATCCAGGTGGTGTCATATGCCAACAATTTATGCCTGTCTGCTGCTGAGTCTGTTGAACCATCCACTTGTGGCGGGACATTTTAGTCTTTTGTAGTTTTCGCTTATGATAACAGGACTGCTATGAAGAATTGTGTGCAGGTTTCTATGTGAACACACACTTCCATTTCTCTGGTTTAGATGTCCAGGATTATGGCCGCTGGTTGACATGAGAAGTGTAAGTTTTGGCCTTCACTGAGAGTCAAAGATTTAGAAAAAAAAAGATGCACCTAGAGAACTGCCTCTCTTTCTCATCCCTGCTACCCAAATCCCATGCCCTCTTCCCCTCCACAAAGCCCTATAGGGCTGTGATCAGCCTCGTTGCTTTCTGTCTTATCCTTCCTGCATTTCTTTTGCGCAGATGAACAGATACATGTGTATTTTCTTATGCTCCTTCTTTCTGATGTGAAGGAGAGCAAGCGTTCTATATTCTTTGGGGCTTTGCTTTCTCCATTTAACAGTATGTCCTTGAAAATCCCTTATTGGCTTTGAGAGGGTCTTTCTCATCCTTTTTTCCCTGCTGCAGAGTGCTCCACTGTGTTTGTTCAGCCTCTGTCTTACATGCAAATATTCAGGTAGTTTCCAGTAGTTTGAAATGACAAATGATAATGCAGTG